AAATGGCTTAAAAAACTAAATCAACATAGGTAAGAGGTCTGACTGATCATCATAACAAGAGATTCTGATAAAAAATTAGAGACATTTCCACCCAATATTGTGGCTATGTCTGATTTTTGTTGCTTTACGTGAAATGCTCAGTGCTCTCTATCAAAAGACTATATATTGAAACTTAAAAGCCAACAAAGTCATGTTAAGTCATGTCAGAGGAACTTGGGAGAGATCAGATCAACTACCCAGACAGAGATTCTGCTGTACAAATTAAAGGTTTCTGGGGATTGACTGCTCAAACATGCTGAATACTGACAAACCACACAAAGCTGGGCACCACTATCTTCTCAGGTCTTTAGCCCAGGTCTTCTGTCTTCAGTGTGACACTGAAGAAATTCTATCTTTGGGGCAAACAGTGCTAAACTGACACCACCCAGGATGTTCAAACTCAATAATAAAGTATTTTTTTGCTCAACATACCAAGAAGACAAGACAAAAATTACATGAGAAAATAATGTTTTTCACCCTTATGTTTTATTGCTTTAGGTCATTCTCAATCTAGAAGAAGGCAACTAAATAGTAAGCCCTAATTAAACAAGTTAATGCCTCTGTCTAGGATTACAAACTTTAATGGGACTAATGGCAGCCCAGTGCTGGAATGAAGTAATGAAGTAATAAATGCTGGGTTGAAAGCAAGGAAATGTACCAGTCAGATACCCACACACATTGGCAGAAGCTGGATTCAAGTGGTCAACAGTACTGGCAGCGAGGTTTGGAGGGGAGTGGAGGTGAGGAAGCAGATGAGAGCTTAAGAGTAACAGAATGACGGGAATTCAGACACACTAGGCTGAGCACAGTGCTCTCCTTTGCCAGTCGTGGACAGTGCTTCTTGTCATCTCCGATTCCCGCCTCTAATGAAAACTGGGTGTTTGGTTTACTCCATTCCCAAAGCATAAACTTCAGCTTTTTATAGCCAAAGCAGTGTGCTATTTTAAACATGTGGAGGAAATGCATTTACAGTTACAAACATTTGCTCCTATGATTCTTATTTGCTAGCAAAGGATGTGGGACAGGATGTTTTACTCTCCTGCTCTGGTTTTCCTGTATTGCTTAAATCTGTTTAGAGAAAAGAAAAATAAACAAATAAAGTGTTTCTCCTGGACAATTTCTATAAACTGAAGCAACTCCGAAAATGAAAAGAGTTTATGGAAAAAAACATTTTACTGCATTAAAGTAATTTTCTTTTAATAAATTAATTATTCCTGTAGATTCTTCTTCTGAAAAGACTTTCCACACTATGTGTGTGCAGCCAGCAGCAGATACTAATGTGTGTACTGATACAGTATGTGCACTTAGACACGCCAGATCAGCTGAATTCCTCTTAACCTTGGCTATTCCCAAGCACAACTGCAACTGTGGAAGCTTTTTGAGATGAACCTCAGAAAAATGATCATGCCCACCCTGGAGGGCCATAATTAAATGTGTCCCCATTTTCATGTACAAACTGTGAGGACTCTTACTCAGATATACATATCCTTGTAATCTGTTATGTTCCATTACAGCTTTCAAAGAAAACAATTTCGATCAAATTTCACTTTATCTCTTTACAAAGGAGACAGCAGTTCATTAATGTCCTGAAAGAGATTTCACTGGTTGACCCCTCTAGAGTCCTTCTCCACACTGCTCTCTGCCCCAGATATTGTCATGGACGAAAGACTCTCTTATTGATCAAACCTTGCTCAGGCTCCTTTGAGACCTCTTCTCAACTAGGCCTCAATATTGGCCCCTGTCCTTGCTGGGCTTGCACAGCCCAGCTTTAGCAAGAATCCTGCTAAATCAGTTTAAACAGAATCACCCAGCCTTGACATGTGATCACTCTGAATATCTGACCAAGTTCCATATTTCCCAACTCTGATGTACAGGTCCTCAGCCTGCCTTCAGCAAGAATCCTGTTAGGTCAGCTTAGCAAGAATCTGCCTACCTTTGATGTCTCCTCTTAGCATTGGTCCATCCGCTGATCATCTCCCCACTCCCAATTCTGCTCCTTGACTATAAATCCCCAGCTGCCTTTGCTGTATTCAGAGTTGAGCCTGATTTCTCTCCCCACTGTGACAGTCTTATACCAACTGCAATAATCCTGAGTAAGTCTTCCTTACCATTTTAACAAACATCAGAATAATTTTTTCTTTCACAAGCCTCAGTGGCCAATGTAGTGCCCTGGCAAGAGATGGGATGGAGGGAGGAATGAAATATTTGGGTATTTATTCCCCTTGCTTCCCCCTAGATGGCCCAGCTTCTGCTAATGAAGGTCTCAGCTCTTGTTAGGAGGCCCTCCCCATCTTCACTGCCATTAACTGCTCCTTGCCTTGCCCCTTCAGGTCTAGGGATGATAATGGAACCTCATTATAACTAGCCCCAGGACACCCTACTATTCCCATCTATGTGGTTTTGCATAGTTATTAAACTCTCCTCAAGGTATCCGAATTTGAGGATGCCGTCTGTTTCCTGCTGGGTCTCCCAGATATCATCTCAGGAGATTCCTTATCCTTGAAAGGCTATTAGCTCGTTCTAAGAATGGAAGGCATGAATACAGAATACAGTGAGATTTCCATGAGTGACTTAGCGACATAAACAAGGTGACCTGGTTAAGGTGCTGCTTCTCCCTCCTCTGGTTATCTTCATAACTATGGTAACAGAGTATTCTCTGAAACACATGGTTTCCAAATAGAATCTCTAAGCATCAATAGGGATTATTTGAAGAAATATCCAAAGAGGCTAGAGGTAAAAAATTATGCTAGTTGAAACGAACTATGCTAGAAACCTAAAGTAGAAACTCTGCCTTTATGTCTTTCTAGTACTTACTTCAGAGGTAACTTTCACACTAACACTTCCAATAAATGTAAGAGACACTGTTTAATACCAGATACAAGTCTGGTAATCTAAGCACAAGCCTGTGGAAGGCTAATTCTACATGCATTCTAGAGCAGTATTTGTCAAATTAAGGTTATAACAGATTGTGAAATCAATTCAATGGGTCAACATTTTTTTAAATGACATACTACACACAATAATGTAAATAAAAGAGAAAGTCATAGTTCACCATACCTAGTAAAGGTAAGTATTATTTCTGCGAATTTTTATTTCACTTCTTTACACATCTGTATTTATGGGTATACTAAAGCACAATGTAAAATGTATTTCTTATTATGAGTGGCAATCAATAGAGTTTGAAAGTTACTGTTCTGAAGAGAATCCCTTCCAAACAATACAATGATTATAAGGCTAAAAACGTGTCCGTATTTTTTTTTATCTCAACCCTCACAAAAAATAGTTTTGTCACCCTGTATAAGCACATCAATAAATAAAATAAAAATATTAAACAATATTTATTCTTACCATCTGATATACTATGGTATTTTAAAAATTCTATCTCATTTCTTTCAAATGATAACTGTAAACTACAGCTTGAAAAGCAGTGGCCTTCAGTATTAAGAGGGTTAGTCTGAAGAATTCTGTTCACATTATTCTGTTTCTTTCACAGCTGCCTTCCTCGGTGTTTTAACATCATTTCCACTGAGGTAGCAAGCACTCAAATTCTTTTCTTTCTTAGGTTTCTGTGTAACTCCTACATGACTTCTGCCACCTAGCTGCTCCAGTGCAAGAGAAACACTTGGAGTAAGAAGCAGACAAAAAATATGGAGCAGATGTGGATTTGGGCCCATCCATACACCCTTGCACTCACCCCCATCACACCCTGAGAGCAGCGTCTTACTACAAGGGCCTGCAGCTCGTGGTCTGAAGACTGAGGGCCCTGAAAGTAGCTGAAACAGCACGCATGGGAACTGGAGGCTAAATATTCCAGCCTCCTGAGCCTTGCCAAGTCCCTCAACAGGACTGAGTAGCAGTCACCAGCACCAGCAGCTGCTGGGAAATGCAGCCTGCACTGGCTCCCATCCCACCCCTCTCACCTTCCTGCTGGGGCTTCCTGGAATCACCTCCCACTTTATCGACTTGAACTCAAACCTCTGTCTTAGGGTCTGCTTCTGGGCAAATGCAACCTAGGTGAGCATACACAGGATTGTTTGGAGCCAGAGCTGCAAAGATGAGAAAGGCCTGTCCTAGAAAAGCTCACAGTCTGATTGAAAACTACTGATTTTTTTTTCTCTTTAAATTACTTTAATCAAGAAGATAGAGAGGATGGACAAGGAACTGAGCCCTGAGTCCCTTTTAGAAAATTTTAAAACAAAACAAAACTTCACTTTCATAACAACGTAGGTATGTTTGGGGAAGGATGGAAGAAGCAACGAGCTTTGAAGGGTCAGGTGAGATCGAGAGGTGACTTGTTCTACCCCAAACACCTCAAGCACACAAAGCTCCCCTCCACAGGAGTCAGGGGGTGATCAGTGTTACCTATAGCTGTGGTCCATGTTCACATCCCTGTAGCCTAGTGCCCTGGTGCCTTGTACCTACTGGTGCTTTACTTTACATGTAGGTCAAGAAGAAAGGAATTTTTATTTCCTTCAGTAAGGAAGAATTCTAGCTTTCAGCTAAAAATAACCCAAGTAATATGGAAAATAGGAAGGGAAAAAAACTAAGTTCTTGACAATGTGTTAGTAAAATTATTTGTAAATCAGCTTTGACCTTTTCCTACTCCTATGAGATCCTTGCAGGTGAAAGTGAGTACTCAGTCCAAATCTGTATTACAAGTTCTGATGAACTATTGATATTTTCACTCAAAAATTATTTTTTAAATGTAAAGTCTACTACATGTTCAGCTCTGTGGTCAACACTGTAAATCAGGCCTTTTATCAGAATCAAACAAGAAACCTATGGCTAATTTCCCTTTGCATCTTCCATTTTGCAAATATTTCAGCAAAGGCAGAATAGCAGCATAATTCCTTCTCTTAGGAAGGAATCAGGAGAACTAAAGTCAAAATGTATCCTTGTACTGAAAATAGCTTCTCCAACATGCGAGGTGCACCTGGGCCTGAGACTAGAATACCACTCACCCTGATCCGGCAGGAAGTGACGGCAGAGCTGCGGGGACATTAGTCTGTGGTTTTTCTTTCTCGTTTTGCTTGAAGAAGGATTTGGCTTCTTTAGATGTAGCATCCACTTCCTTAGTCACCCTGTGCCAAGGAGGGAGACACCAAATTTACAAGAGGAATCAAAAGAGAGAAACAAAATCTAAGAAAAGGAAATACACAAGGGCTTTCAAATTCTGGCTGCTAAGCTTTATGATGTAAGTTTACTACCACAGTTCTAGACAGACATTTTTCCTTATTAATTTAAGAAATTAACAACAGCATATATGTAAAAGTGATGTCTCTCAAATCCCCTCCGTCCGTCAGCATGAAACAGACTCCGATAGTCACTACTGAATCACAGCCCACGTGAGTCACTGATGTGAAGGCTGAAAAGGGCTCTCCCACTGCACCTCACAGGCAGACTAGGGCCCACACTTAAAGGTCGAGTATAAGTTGGAATGGAGAAATGGAGTATTTGAGAGAAAACCACTGGTATTATTTCAAGAAGAAAAGCAACGGTATAAACAACTGGAAAGACTCTGAAGAGGCTCCTATTCTATGCCTAAAACAACACAAAGATAAAACAAAATTCCTTAAAAGTGGCTAAACAGGCACTAATTTAGAAGTAAAAGAAAGTTACACGATTAAGAATCCTGTCCAATTTCAAATTTGGAAAAGCTGCCCTCAATAAAACTGAGTGCTAAAGGATCAAATAAGGGTGCCTGAAATTTCAG